GAATTTACATCTGTAAATGCGCAATCTCCTTTCAAAAGGAAAGCTCTGCGCAATCCAATTTAATCATGACATGGACCCTCTGAGACAGGTACTACTGATCCATTTCTTTTTTTTTTTTTTGAGACGGAGTTTCGCTCGTTACCCAGGCTGGAGTGCAATGGTGCAATCTCGGCTCACCGCAACCTCCGCCTCCTGGGTTCAGGCAATTCTCCTGCCTCAGCTTCCTGAGTAGCTGGGATTACAGGCACGCACCACCGTGCCCAGCTAATTTTTTGTATTTTTAGTAGAGACGGGGTTTCACCATGTTGACCAGGATGGTCTCGGTCTCTTGACCTCGTGATCCACCTGCCTCGGGCTCCCAAAGTGCTGGGATTACAGGCGTGAGCCACTGTGCCTGGCCCTGATCCATTTCATAGTTGGGGGAACTGAAGCTTGACAGGCTAGAGGAACAGGTCCCGAACTATAAAACTCATGAGCAGTGACACCAGAATTTGAACTAAATCTTCAAACTCCAAGCTCAGCTGACTCTTACACATGACTAATTTCTGCCAACACAGATCAAGCCCCATGGTCCTAGAGAACGAGGTACTCTACTTTTCACCCTCATACAGTGTTTCACACGTGAGGGTGCTGAGACTCCAAGAAGTCGATTCACTAGCCTGAGGTCACATGGTCAGGATGGGTTGGAGCCTGCTGGAACCAAGGTCTGACTTCTCTAGAGCTGGAGTTTCATCTTGAGAAAGAGAAAGGCTGAACAAAAGAACTCTGTTGGGAAGGGTCTTGCCCTTAGCTGAAAGCAGAGGAGCAACAGAGAGAGCCTTTTCTAGGCTGCTGGATGTGCAAGTTAGAGCTGTGTGAGGTTGCAATCTGTGCTAGAGGTGGTGAGGCAGGGGAGCCTTACCGGGTCCTTTTAAATTAATCAGTGTAAAAACAGTCCATTGTGAAAACGATGTTGTGGAGACAAAGGCCTGCACAGACTCACTGTCAGTCTGCAGGCTGCTGGCATCAGGCTCTGGGGGCACTGGGAGTATCGGCTGTAGCCAAGAACAAGGGTATTTACAAACAGGTGTTTGTGCACAGGTAAGAGTACAGTGACTGGAAGGAGAGTCCCATGTGTCAGACACAGCCCTGGGGGTGCCCATGGCAGGTAGTGGTCCCCACAAGGTCTTGGAGGCATCAAACCAGTCCACATCAATGCATTTCATCCGGGAGCCCATGAGCAGATGAACGCTGGTTACGTGCTGAGTGTTTGAGGCCAGATACTCCACTTCATGTTCCACATCCATGATCTTGTTAATCCTCATGACAGCCCGACCAGATAGGAACTATGCCTTCCAGTTTTCAAGTGAGGAAACTGAGGCACAGAGAGGTTAAAGTGACTGGCCAAAGGTCACACAGCTGATAAGGAGAGTTAGAATGTGAGCCCCAGATGGGCAGTTCCCAAGGGCTCTCCTCTTGACGGCTGGGTGATGTTGCCTGCTTTTAACTGGCTGTCCCGCAGCGACTGTCAGCTCTGTCTTCACTGGCTAATCAGTGCCCAAAACATACTCTATCATTTGAAAATGGAGCAAAGGACGACGAAAGCCAAGCACTTACATTTTGGGAGGATTAAGTGAGCTAACGCTTGGAAGATAGTTAACCTGGTGTCTGGCACGATAAACGCCGTGCGGTCCTAGTTCTTCACAGTCTAGTCAAAGCCCCACCTACCTCCACAGCCCCACACCCCCTGATCCTTGTGCGCACCCTTGCACCTGGAGCTGAGCCTCAGGGGCTGCCTGCAGCTCTACACAGGCTCTGCCCTTAGCCTAGCAAACTTCTCCCCAACCTTGGAGGTCCCACTCAACGCTACTCCTCTTTGAAGACCCCCAGGGAGTGAGCCCCGCTTCCACCCTCACACTCACTGCATCTCTGCGAAGCTCTTCCCAGGCCCCTCTGGGTTTCAACCTGCTGTTCAGACCTCCATTTTGGCATTTCTTCGGGGTGTAATTACATGTTTACGAATGTTTCCCACAACACGCTCATCTGACATCAAACGTGCACTGGACAGAAACAGGCAGGCAAGTCTAAGGCTAACACTCCACTAAGAGGGAATGTTCCTCAGGACACCCAGTGTCCTCTACTGCACACCCACAAACCAGCTGGCACAACGGAAGGTTTGCTGAGCCCTTTTAGAAAACCATCAAAAACCAAGTGATCCTTGGACCCGGCGGTTCCACTTTTGTGAAGCATTCCTAAGGAAACAATTGGGAAAACAGGGGACAAAAAGTTTTGTGTCCAGAACCACCTCTGGATTCTGATGGTAAAAACAAAAAAGCAAACATCTAGACGTCTAACCACAGAGAGGTGGCCGGGTCAGCTGGAGTAGTGATGCTTGTGTTGACTACTGAGCACCCGTGAGGGGCTAGTCACTTCACACTGCCACCTCACCTCAGTGTCACCTCATCCTCACACGCGCTCTCGTGAAGCGGGTGGTACAGTTATCCCTGCCGTAGGCTGGAGAAGATGGCGGCCCAGACACCATGCGGCTAGTAACAGCTCTCAGTGGTTGAAAGTCCCCTGTGCTGAGCCTGTTCTCGGCCATCTGGACACATCTCAGTTACTGCTCACGACAGCCTCCCTCTATCTACCAACAAGGGCCTGAGACCCAGACAAGTCAATAACACATCCAGGGCCATGCTCCTGCCACATCCATGCCCACATCCCCTGGACACCCAGCAGGCAGTGGCAGAAGAGGGTCTGAGGGATGGACACATCTGCTTCGAGAGCCACACGCTTTCCATGACAAGACACTGTTTTCCTGTGACAGACTTTGAATTCCCTCTCTTACAGGCTGAATTATGTCCCCTCAAAAGACATTGAATTCCTAACTCCCCGTACTCGTGAATGTGACTTTTGTTGGAACAGGCTTTGGCAGATGTCCAGGGTAAGACGAGATGGTTGGGGTGGGCCCTAATGCAACATGACTGGTGCCCTTAAAAAAAGGAAAATTTGGATACAGACCCAGACATACATAGAGCTAAGACAATGGGAAGACAGAGGGAGAATGACATCTACAAGCCAGGGAATAGCTGACGTTACCGGAAGCTATGAGAAAGGCCTGAACAGATGATCCCTTGCAGATCTCGGAAGGAACTACCCTGCCTACACCTTGCGTTTGCACTCCCAACCAAGAGAACACATTTCTGCTGTTTAAGCCCTAGTTTATTGCTTTGTTGTGGCAGCCCCAGGAAAGGGACACAGGTTGTCAGTAATTTATCAGGCTATGGGGCAACCAGAAAAATAGTGGTCACAGGGGTTACATAAAAATGCCTGAAGTAACAGTGGCTCACGTCTGTAATCCCAGCACTTTGGGAGGCGGAGGTGGGCGGATCACCTGAGCCCAGGAGTTCCAGACTGGCCTGGGCAATACAGCCAGACCCTGTCTCTACAAAAAACAAACAAAACAAAAACCCAAAGGTTAGCGAGTGGAGTGGCATGTGCCTGTGATCCCAGATATTCTGGAGGCTGAGGTGTGGAGATCACCTGAGGTCCAGAGGTTAAGGCTGCAGTGAGCCATACTGCACTCCAGCCTGGGTGACTCTGTCTCAAAACCAAAATGGCTGAGGTACGCATGAGATTAAAGGGAAAAGCAAGGGACAAAGGCCTGTGGACTCTGATCACCACTATGGTAAAAACACACTTGGATGCATATAGAAGACAGACAGGAAACCCACCAGCAAAACTAAGACGACTGCCCAGCTTTCTCCCTACTCTTCTGTGTTTTTCCAATTTGATTCAGCAAATATGCACTGTTTTATAATTTTTTTTTTGAGATGGAGTTTCATTCTTGTCACCCAGGCTGGAGTACAATGGCATGATTTTGGCTCACTGCAACCTCTGTCTTCCGGGTTCAAGTGATTCCCCTGTCTCAGCCTCCCAAGTAGCTGGGATTACAGGCATGCATCATTACGCCTGACTAATTTTTGTATTTTTAGTAGAGATGGGGTTTCACCATGTTGGTCAGGCTGGTCTTGAACCCCTGACCTCAGGAGACCCACCTGCCTTGGCCTCCCAAAGTGCTGGGATTACAGGCATGAGCCACCGTGCCCAGCCTCTTATAAATTTTATGTAATTGGCTTAACAATGTATTTGGACCATGGGAAGATGGAGGTATATAAGATTACGGGCCAAATTTTGAATCCCTTCCAAATTTCTTTGTTGAAAGAATTCAACCCCCAGGACCTCAAAATTGTGACTGTATTTGGAGAAAGGGCCTTTAGAGAGATAATTAAGTTAAAATGGAGTTTTAGGGTGGGCTCTTACGCCACTATGACTGTGCCCTTATAAGAGGAGAAGATTAGGGTCGGGTGCAATGGCTGGCCAGGCGAGGTGGCTCATGCCTGTAATCCCAGTACTTTGGGAGGCTGAGGTGGGTGGATCACCTGAGGTCAGGAGTTCGAGACCAGCCTGGCCAACATGGCAAAACCCCATCTCTACTAAAAATACAAAAATTAGCTGGGTGGCTGGTGGGCGCCTGTAATCCCAGATACTTGGGAGGGTGAGGCAGGAGGATCGCTTGAACCTGGGAGGTGGAGGTTGCAGTGAGCTGAGATCGTACCACTGAATGCTTGGGTGGCAGAGCAAGACTCCGTCTCAAAAAAAAGAAGAAGAAGAGATTAGGACACAGAGAGACACCAGATGAGTGCATGCACAGTGGGAAGACTGTGTGAAGACAGGGGGAGAAAGAAGGTAGCCACCTGCCAGCCTGGCACAGGACGGGGCCTCAGAAAAACTAGCCCTGCCCACACCTCGATCTTGGACTTCCAGCCTCCAGGACTGTGAGAAAGTATACCTCTGTTGTCTAAGCCACCCAGTCTGTGATGTTTTGTTGTGACAACCCTGGCAAACTAATACATAAAGCCAAAGGAAGGGGAACCTTCCCACAGGCCCCGACTCCGCAAGCTGGAGCAGAGCAACAGGCAGGGTGTGCCCAGAGGGCAGAATGTGGCTGTGTCACTCACCCAGGCAGTTGTGTCCGTCGTGTGCCAGCATGAAGCCATCAAAGCATGTGCACCTGTAGTTCCCCGGGATGTTGATGCACTCGTGGACACAGCCCCCGTTGTAGTAGTCATTCTCACACTCATCAATGTCTGCAAAAGGAAGGGCAAGAGAGGTGTCAGAACAAGAGCCTGGTGGTCCCCTCACAGTTTCCCCAATGGAAACCACCCGGATATGAGTGATTAGGGGATGATTCAACAAGTATTCACATAAGTCCTCCCTGGGAGCTGGGGACTCAAGGATTATAAAAATGCTAATCGTGGCCAGATGCGGTGGCTCATGCCTGTAATCCCAGAACTTTGGGAGGCCAAGGTGGGTGGATCATGAAGTCAAGAGATTGAGACCATCTTGGCCAACATGGTGAAACCCCATCTATACTAAAAATACAAAAATTAACTGGTTATGGTGGTGCATGCCTGTAGTCCCAGTTACTCTGGAGGCTGAGGCAGAATCGCTTGAACCTGGGAGGTGAAAGTTGTAGTGAGCTGAGATCGCGCCACTGCATTCCAGCCTGTCAACAGAGCTAGACTCTGTCTGAAAAAAAAAAAGCTAATCAATCACATGTGGGGTACCTTCCAGTTCCTACCACAGTGAACAGGCAAGATTCACACCTAGTTCTGCCTCCACTGAAAGCCTCTCCACACTACGAACATGCGGAAATCCTGTGCACGATTTCTGAAAACTAGCTATCTTGAAGCAGGGGGTATTGAGTAAAATTAACTGAACATCACCAAAAAGTGTAACTTCTGGAATGAAACAAAAGTCCACTTGCTCCTCCAAACAGTTTCTTTCCACATCAGCGTCTGATGCCTGCATTTCAACTGCTCCAGCTTCCTCGCTATAACAAAGGCTTCTGTCTCATAAACAATGGCCAATAGCCTTGGTAAAGGTCACCCTTTTTGCTGTTTTAAGGCTTTTTCAATATTTCCCATCAGGGGTCAAAGGGCTATCAGTTCTGGAGTTCTAGAGATTTGAGACCCTGGAGAATGCCAGGAACATGCCTAGTTAACCTCGTCTGAGCTGCTTCCATGCCCAAGTGCTGCTTGTAAGGCCATGTCATACCTCTTCAATCCACACACTAACTCAGGCATCATTCTCACTATTCCAATTTTGCAAGAGCATGGAAGAAACTGAGGCAAAATGAAGTTAAAACCTTGCGGAAGGTCACACACCTAGGAAGTGGTACAAATGGGATTCGAACCCTTGGGCTTCAGAGCCCAAGGGGCCTAACCCCCGTCACACCTGGCCTACTTGGGAGGGCACCAGGCACAGCAAAAATCTGCCAGCCTGTGGGTGCCGGCTCTTCTGCAGGGTCTTCAGCAACCCCTAGAACCCCTGGCCTCACTCATCTCAACCAACAACCATCTTGACCTCCAGAGGCTCTGAAACACGCCGGGGAGAGAGGACACCGGAAGTGTTCCCCACAGGGAAAACAGAACCAGAAGTGCAGCACTAAGCGGAACCGGAAGTACATTAAAAAGGCAACCGAGGAGGACGCCACAGTTCCTCTTGCATGGCGCGGAAAAGGGATTTTTGAGGCTGAGTTCCAGCTGTGAAAATGGGGCTGGGGCCAGCCAGTAGAAGAAGAGAGCCTGGAGAAGGCAGGCCTGGCCTCCCCTCAACCTCCGGAGCTGCCACAGGGACACGGAACTCCTTGCTTTCTCCATACTGGTTGGGAGAGCAGAGCTACTCACAATGTGGGGAAGCCATGGGGCCTATGAATATATGTGGGTAGGACTGTCGGTCTGCAAGGCACAAGCTGTTGCAGGAGGTGGTGAGCTCCTTGACTTTGGAGGTGACTAAGCACCTGCCTGCCAGATATGCTGCAGAGTAAAGAGGACAACTGTGGTGAGGACAACTGTGGTGAAAACAGCAGAAGAGAACACACCAAGTACGGGGTCTGGGCTGTGCAGCCACTCGTGGTGTCCACCCAGTCACAATGAGGGACAAAGAAGCCTGGGCTGGGTCTCCAAAGGATCAAGAGATAGGAGTCTTCGCCTAATCTGCCTACAGGGGCACCTGCATCAGTTCTCAATTCTGAAGCTCATTTGAATTATTTAGAGACAAGACCTCACTGTGTTGGCGAGAGTGGACTCAAACTCTTGGGCTCAAGGGATCCTCCTGCCTCAGCCTCCCTAGTAACTGGGGCTATAGGCATATGCCACTGTGCCTGGCTCTGAACTGTTTGTAATTCTGATATTTAATACACTTATAAATTAAAAGATAGATATTTAATATACTTATAAATTAAAATTAAGAGAGAATGTGATATTTTATGTTTACTGAAAAGGCACACCAATTTTTAAAAACTAAGAGATTGATTACTTCCCAGTCTCTGTTTGCAGCCCTGATCTTTCTCCAGAGCCCCAGATGGACTAATGCAACCATCTCTTCCCCTGGGTAGTCCAAAGATACTCCAAGGCAACAAAGCCTAACTTCAACTATTCAACCTGCACTTACCTGGGGGTTCCTCATTCCAGTGAATACTGTTTTCCTTCCACTGCTCCCTTAACATCAAAGCAGCTAGCAAAGTGTGGTTTTTCTGCACCTTTAATACAGTTACAGTCTGCCCACTGGTCACTTATTTTCACTATCTGTCAGCATGAGTATCACCTCACATCTGATTTAACCCAGCAGCCCCCAAACTATTCCCTCCCTCCCTTCCTCCTGCAAGCAGGTGATCAGGGGGAAGCTGGCCTGGTCCTAACTCTGGGGGTGAAGTCTTATCAATTTTATCCAAACATCATGTGCCACTAGCAATTGCTGTTGGTCCCAGGCTTGGTAGGTGACTTAGGTTGGATCAATCAGACTGAGGAAAAGGACTTTTATTCCATGCTTGGGTAAAAGAACTTTCTCTCATCTTGTACCTCAGAAGGAAGTATCTACTCCTGAAATATACACCAGCTCCTTTAATTCTTACAACAACCCTCTGGAGTAGTTATTTGAACTCCACTTTATGGTTGAACAAACTAAAGTGCAGAGACGTTAGATAATTGCTCAGGGTCACATAGTAAGTGGTAGGGCAAGGATCAGAACAAATGTCTTTCAGTCTAGGAAGCCCACATCCTTTTTACTAAGTTAGAATGCCTACGACATGCCAGTCATTGACAAAATGCTTTATACATGATACAATATTTCACCCTCAGCACATTTATGCTGTGTACTGAGAGTACTATCCAATCATCCAAATATCCATTTACCTATCTATTTTTCTACTTGTTCTGCATCTGTCTGTATACACACACATACACACATGTGTGCATGCCTATCTATCTACCCAAATAACCAACCAGCCAGCCATGCATCCATTCATCCAAACACTCATCTACCCTTCCACTATCCAACCATCTGTTCACCCTCAACCTATCCATTCAAATATCTACCCAATCATTCTTCCATTGGTCTATTTCTGCTCAAATTTATCCATCTCAATATCCAGTGTGCTAACCACCCTTCCATTTCTCCAATTACTTAGTCACCCATCCATTTATCCAGCCAAACATTCACCCATACATCCAACATGCATGCATATCTGTCTGAATATTCAGCCAGATGCCCATCCTTCCATTCATTTAAGCAGTGACCCATCCAAACATCCATCCAAGTGCTTAGCTACTCATCTGTATATTCACTGATTCAAATACCCACCCTTCTATCCAAACACATGTGTGTACACTTATGCACACACACATATACACACACATTCACACACACATACACACACTCACACACACATTCACACACACATACACACATACACACATACACACACATACACACACACACGTACACACACATACACATACACACACATACACACAGACACACACGTACACACACACATACACACACATACACACACACACATGCACACACACACACATTCAAACACCTACACGCCCATCCATCAATCCAAACTTCTATTAACTCACTGACTCTTTCCAATATTATCCATCCAAACAGCTTACAAAATACAGTAATTTTTTCAAACAGAATAAGATATTAGAATGAAGGAAAATAAATGAGGGTTGCAGAATAAGATAAATCTGGTGGAAATATACAAACACACATTTGATAATTGTAGCACAATGATAGAAGGTGGGCTGTGAGCTTCCTGAAAGCCAAGACAAAGAAAGAAACACAATAGGTAATAGAGTTGCCACATCTATAAAATGTAATCAAACTAGTTGTTTCAATGGTAGTCAGGTCTGAGAAGCCTCAGACCTCCTAGATAGGGAATGTCTTCCCATGCTTAGAATATCATATACTTTAATTCTCTGGCATAGCTCCAGTTTTTGCCTGTTGTTGGGGTATAATTATTAACAGCAATTATTATACTTTTCACTATTAAAATGATAAACTATCTGATCACCCATAAGGCATTATAAAGATATTGAATAGTCAATAAAACCACTCTAGCCATTTCCTTCCTTTGACCCCCCATAGGGTAAGGCCACAATAATTGCCATGGGGCTGGAGAGTGCAGAGATGTTCGCTGGTTGCATCTCTTTCCTTAATCCATCCCCAGTGAGTTTTCCCAGACTGAGCATCTCTCAGATGACCAGTTCCTTGCCAATCCCCAGGCCTGCTGTGCTCTCCAGGCTTCCGTGGGAGCCAGCTTTACCTCCCACTGCCCTGGATGGAGGACATCTGCTCATAAGCCAAACCTTCCCTGATTTTCCAAATTTGTTCTAAAATCATGTAAAGCCTCCTCCTTTAATACATAAGAGATAAACACACAAATCAGCTAAAAAAATCTGCCAAAGCAAGTGGATTTATTATTATAAAAACATTCCCAGGAGTCACTTCCCCTGGAAGAGGCACCACAGACCTCTGAGACACTCATCAGGCTCAGATCACTTTTTAAGGACTGAAAGCTAGAGAATGAGGAAGAGGCAGGTGGAGGGGGAAGTGGTAGAGGAATGGAGGGGACAGAGCACAGCTCTGTGGATGCTTATTCTCAAAGGACTGGTGTGGAATGAATTGTGTCCCCACAGAAAGATATATTGAGGTCCTAACTCCCAGGACCAGAGAATGTGATCTGACTTGGAAGTAGAGTCTTTGCAGACATAATCAAGTTCAGATGAGGTCA